GTGTGTGTGTGTGTGTTCTCCTTTAGAGGCAGGTGGTTTCTCCACACTTTCTCAGGCTTAGCGTAGGAATGGCTACCCTTGCCTCTTCTCAGTCCAGATTTATGGACAGAGTTTGCAGTTGCTGCACCAGGAGATCAAGTCCAGTTTCACTCCCTTGGGCAGGGGGTGGAGAGGTCCGGGATCGAAGAAGGGATGAAATAAGGGTGAGCAGGTCTGTTGTTTCGTTGTCCTCCCTCCCACCACCGTTCCTCGCTGTAAGAGACGCCAGTGCACCTGTGCACCAGGAGATGTTGATTTGAGGCAAGTGGATCCCTTCATCCTCTCAGAACGAGCTTTTGTTTTGTTCCTTGAGACAGGGTCCCACTATGTAGTGCAGACTGCCCTCGAATTCACATTGACTATCCTGCCTCAGCCTCCTGGGTGCTAGGATTACAGGTTCGCACTACCATGCCTGGCCTCAGAGCTTTGAATAAATGCTTTTTCCTTTTTACCAAAAATATGGCCTCCCTTGATTTGGTCAGCAGCAAGCAAACAAACGTGAGTGTATGAACCTAAGTGGGCAGTGGTGACAGGCCTATCTCCAGAGCCATGTACACACCAAGTGGGTTAGGCGTGACTGGGTTGCTTTTTTTGAGTCTGCCCTTCTGGTTCTGTCTTGCCTCACATGGTGTGGACAACCTTCAATCCCGTTGGGGAAGAAGAGCCTGACCTCCATCGAGACTCTAGGCTCACGCTGGGCTTGTCTTGACTGCTGGTCTCTTCTGCCATGTCAGAGGCCAACCCTGGACACTGTTGTAGGCTCCTCCCCACTGTGTTATCCAAGCTGGCCTCAGACTTTCAATTCTCCCTGCCGGTCCTCCAACCTTAGCTTCCCAAGTATTTGGATTACAGGCATGTACTACTGTGCCCAGTTTAGAGGCTCATTCTTTTTTTTTAGAGGCTTTTTTCCTTTTTTGGTAGGGAGAATCGAACCCACAACCTCATGCTTGCCAGGCAGGTGCCGCACTGCTGAGCTGTATCCCCAGCCCGAGGCTCATTGTTGAAGCTGGTTTTATTTCCTCGACATACCGGGCATCATCCCCAAATATACCTCACAGCAGAGCTCACCATTTCTGTGGAAATG